ATTCAATCTACATGCTCAACAAGTCATCTTGCTGTTGATTTGTTGACTAAAAGAAGAAGAAAAAGAGGAAGAAGATTGCAACGTTGTCTTACAACGTTTGGCATATCGTTCGTATTAGAATCTCGGTAGTTAACTAACTGTACGATTGTCCGAGAACGTCAATCGCGTGATTACTTCACCGTTTTTATTATCATCTATGTATATATATATATATATATATGTATGACATATGCAAAATGTGACATGTCTAAGTGTGCGTGTTTGTCGCGGTAGCATAAATTGGTTCGACTTTATTTTACGATGAAAGCGTAACCATTTCAATAAAATTGACACTTACAAAATCCTATTGTACGATCGATACCTTATTATTCGTATGGTTCGTGTTGTGTATCGATCAATCAAATCTTATTTTGTACAAAAAAAAAAAAAAAAAATTTTTATTTTTTATGCTTAACAATTAAATAGAAAAGTAAGTTAACTTAAAATATATATATATATATATATATATTTTTTTTATCAAAAAAATGTTGTCCAACATTTCCTTGAAGGTCAGCGCTTTTTGGAAAAACTCTTACTGATGTGATATTTTGTCTTGCCAAGTATCCAAGACAAGTTTAAACCAATTCGGAACACAATTATGATGGGTATGCACAATTTTACATATATGCTATGCATCATCATAAGTGGTGTATGGTAGAGTCTTGGGCATTGTCTGTTTATTAATACAAATATAAATTTGTTAAATTTTGTTGTTGTTGTTGTTGTTGTCTGCAAAAGCAGTTATTTTTAAAACGCATAATGCACGCATATGTGTGTCTGCGTATATGAAAACTAGATAATTTCCCATGGCTAACACTAAGCAAGAATTTTTTGCTTACATCCATGTAACTAATTTCACTGCTCTTTCTTTTATTATTTTCTTAATTGTTATTAGGCAGAATGTGGGAGCTTTTAACGAAAATATTCTTTGGTTAGGAGGACTCTAAACATTCGATCTACGCTTGGTAAAAAAAATAAAATATTTATTTTGCATTTACAAGTATACATAGTATATATTAAAGGCAAAGTAACGAAAGACTTCAGACCAAAACAAGACATTTGCAAACGTTTTAGAACTTTTAGACTTCTAGTTAAGTCCTTAAGCAATGCTTTTTTTATGCCGACAAGAATGAATATTGTTGCGGAAATTTTATTAACGGAATGCCTGTTGTTGTATATTAATTTATATAATTTATATTTACATATAAATAAAATAAATAGCTTTATTATACATTTAAAATACTTTATTAATATATATAAAAGTATATATAAAAGAAATTGTTATTCTTTTTATTGGTTTCCTGATTGTTTCCGATTCTTTTTTCCTTGACTTGGTTGCTTTTGCTTATCTCCTCTAGATGTTGGATGGATGGAAAATACGCGAACTAAATTTATTTAATTTTACAAGTTAGCCTAAAATTAGACCGCCATATTTTTTTTTTTTTGTTTATTATCCAATTAAACTTATACTTATATTATCTGTTAAAAGAGCTTTACAACCCAGGAAATCTGTTAACAGAGCTTTATCGCTCAGGAAATCAGTTAAAAGAGCTTTATCACTCAAGAAGTCTGTTAAATATACATCAAAAGTGAAATTGAAAAGTGAAATATTATTCAGATTTAAGAAGAGCACAAAGCGTAAAGAAATATATCAACGCGATGAATTTCATTTCGAAATCGTTGTAAATCTTTCATAAAAAGTGCAAATATTTCTTCACTAGTTTGTATGAATTTCGGTGGCATTTTAACAAGTAGACACCTCTGTTAAAATTCAAAGCCGTCAGCAAAACAAAGGAGCACCTCTGTGAAAATATGTTATGTTATCCGTAACAGTAGTAATGCTGTAAACTTTAAGCATCATATATAAACATCATATATGGGTTCCTGATAGCCAAACAACTTTACTACAGACGACTCCCAAAGCTATGCTACATAAAAACTGTATGCATGTAATTTTGAGAATTATCGCAGTAATCGTAGTTGTCTTTATTAAATATGGATAAAATTACGCCTTTGATGTTACAAGCTACAACTAACGACTAAGTTGCTCTTTGAAGTCAAAGTTAAGGTATCGTGATAAGTAAGTTTGTTACACTCCTCGAATTCAATTAAATATTTTATACGTAAATGAAGGTTACGTTACCGTACGTTACGTATGCCATTCATATCGCTGATTAAAATATACATTGCTGACGCTTTCGTTTTGCTACAAAAAAAATCATTGGTTAAATTTTACCTACAAACTCTGACTAATTCTTTAAATGCTTTCAGCAAACGGTATCGCATTTACCAAAGTCTAAAGAAGCAAAGGGGTTTAAATGGCATAGTTCTGGGAGTTTTTATTCGGCAAAGATTGATTGACAGATTAAAACGATGCGATGAAAACGATAAGAAAGTATTTTAAGGCACATCTTTGAACAAATTTTGTGTGAACATAAATTTTTTGCATTTAACTTACTCCTTCACATAAATAAGTTAAGTAGTTGTCGTTAATGAGTTAGAGATTTTCTTTGAAGCTTTGCAAAATTTCTCGCTTTTATTATATATGTTCAACTGTTGACATTAGTAGTAAGAAACAATCTTCAAAGTTCATTGCAAGCGGTTCTATGAAGTCTTCATCAAGCAAATGTTCATTTAATGTATTTTACATAAAAAAAATTCCACTTTCTTGATATAACATCTTTTCATCAGATCCGTAATCCGGACGACAGACGATAGCAACTTCTTTACAATAGAAGCAAAGAAGCAATCAACAAAATGCAACAACAAAAGCCAGCAGAGCTCAGAATTTTGTTTTAAAATGTAAACAAACAACGCCAACAATAAGCAACAAGCAACTCGTGGAGACGAATGTAAAGAAAAAACGGCAACATCGCTTCATTTAACTTCCTTTTACAGTATGCGCATGAAATCATGAAAGACGCGAGCCAAAGTCAGAAGTTTCAATCAATTTTGATACCCTGTAATGTTTTTTAAACACACCCATTCACCTGGAGGCCAAAACGAAGAAAATTCTTGAATCGACTCCAAACCCATCCAAGTCATAGACCAGTTATGAAAATCTTTTATTAGCTTAAGTAGCCCTGTAAAAATGTGCTCGATAGTCTTGCCTTAAAAAGCAAGCATTCGTACTAAATTTTCTATGTGACCTAAGATTCACTATACAGTAGCCTATTAAAGTCTACATACAGAACGAAAAGTTAAGATTTCTCTTAGGATTGAAATATATATATATATATATATATATATATATAAATGAATTTTAAAAAACAAAAACTTATATTAAATAATAATTTAACATATTTTTTTATTTTTTCACTCATTACATAATAAGGCCTTTAACAATTAGTTAAGACTTTATTGGGTCAGTTTAAGCAATTGTAGCACAATATATTGCTCTATATATATATAGCAGCGAAAATTATAAAGTTGCAAAACTTGATGGTAACATATTTGAAAAAAATCAAGGAGTGAGCTATATTGTATTCTGGGTTCAGTATTTTTTTTGGTTTGGAAATGTAGAAAGTGCAACGCAAAATTGCCTAAAATAGGCATTAATAGATGACATGTTTCTAGAAACTCAATAGTCACAATAATCAATGATCAGCACATATACAGATAACTAAATTAGATTTTTTACAATTTTTGGCCTCGAAGCTAATTAAATTCCATCGGATATAATTGCAGTTTTAGGGCAGTCTTGCAAAAACAAAACACAATGTTATTCAAAATGCTGATATACGTAAGTATTCTGAACTCTTTTAATTACCATTCGCTGAGTAACTGGTTTGTTGTAATTCAACAATTGAACAATTAATTTATATTTTTATCCTTACGCTAATCTATGGCAAAATCTTTTCCAAAAAACATATGCAGTCAACGGGCTCGGCTCATCGAAATAGAAGCGCATTCATTTTGTATGTTGGATGAAGGCCTCCTCTCTTCCATAAGATTACTCATAATGTTTACTTTGCTTTTTTTTTTGGTTTTTCTATTACATAAAAAAAGATAAGCATATCTGCCAAGCAAGTGCAACGAGCATTGTGAAAAGCATTTCAAATTATCATAAAGCTTTGTCTTGTAGAAAATGTCACAAGTAAAATCAAAAAAAAATTGTTATGAAACTTCCAAATGCTTGCAAGCACTTTTGGTTTTAATTGAGATCGAAATTCAATTAACAAATCTTTGAAAATACATGAGGTTCTGATCCTAGCTAAACAGTACCGTTTATAGACACAGGGCGTTCAAGGCACCTGTGTGATTAAATATGCAATTTCGTTTCATACATAGCTTCTTATTCTTCTTGGATTGACGTAGCCTTGGTCTCCTTTCACTTTTCTCTCTCTCTCTCTCTCTCTCTCTTTCTCTCAAGTAAGACAACTTGTTACTTGTTGCTATAGCAATCCGATAACTTTTAAAAAATGTCTTTTTTTACTTTGAAAATATTTTCAAATACAGAAAATTATTCCCATTTTGTAGTTTTCTGTCTGGATAAAAATTTAAATTATATAGCGTTCGTAGAGTTATCGGAAATTCGCCCTTGGAAATGGCTTTGATGAAATACTTCTTTCAGGTAAGAGAGCAACAGCCAAATCTAGACGAGGACATCAGGGATATTCTCGCAAAGCATCGAAGACCCGCAACTGCAATACCTGTACATAATATAAGGGGTAAGCGTTTGTTTGCCTGAAAAAAAGACACTTGACTTTGGATATTAATAATAACTCTTGACTTAATTCTTATTTTAGTTGCCTACAAAAGCCGTAAAGGCGCAGAATTGCCGATCAAAAGTCACTTGGCCTTTAGTGAATTTATGCTAACCATACCTTACGTAGCTGCCTTCTCTGCTAAAAATGGTACTTTTTTTTATTATAGAGTCGATTAAAATTTATAGATCGTTACTTGTTTTCTTTTTTTCTTCGTCATTTTTCCAATTGATTATTTGATAATTTTATGTAACTTTTAATTTAATACAAAAAAAAAAATTTGTTTGTGATAGCAATTATTAAATTAAATTTAATCGATTCACTTTCATACTTTTGTGCATTTGAATAATATATCTACTGAGGCTTTACTTTAAGATGTTTTTTTAATTTCTATGTCAGCATTACGTTCGCCGGTAGCGTCAGAGTTAGCGTAATCTTCCGCTAAAGCAGTTCGCCACATTTTTAACATGCTCGAAGCAACATTAATGGTGGATATGGGTTTCGAATTATATTTGAAAAAATTATGCTTATACGTAGGAGACATTTCGTGGCTGTACGGAGATGCTTGTATCGGCGATGATTCTATATAATCATAGTAATCAAAATTTGGAGAAAGTGGGGGGAAACGTGGGCCTGAAGTTTTGATAAGAATTTGATTGCGACTCGGCACGGAGACACTAAATGCGGCCGCTTCCTCTGGAGTAACACCGGCTATCGCGGTGGCCTTAGGGGCTGAAACAGCCAAGCCGTTGCGTCCCGATAACGCTACGGCATTCGGTTTAGCTGATGCAACACCCCCCTCTCCAGCTATAGAAACACCTACGAAAATTAAAAAATATATTTATATTAAATGCAAAGTTTTATTTCTTATTCGCTTATATATACTTGCCTATTGGCTTAGCCTCGGCCACCGACGCATCCTTTTTAGGAGACATTATGGCAATGCTATCATTGTTATCTTCGTAAGGATCCTCCGCGGTTGTAGGTAATAAATCTGTTCCGCTTGAAAACGGCGATGTCGTTATGCTATCATCCTTTTGCTCTTCGATAACCGCTTCTATGTTTGCGTAATGGTTCATATTTTCGGTCGTTGGGCTTTTTTGTGGCATTGCGTTTATCATATGATACGGTTGCAATAACACACTGAAATCTTTAATTTGCCCCGTTTGTTGTAGCGTGGCTAAATTTTGAGCGGCTTTACCCAATTCTAGTAGACTAATAGCGTAGACACGATTCTCTTCGGCGCTAAACGATCCTTTACGTTTGGCTTGCTCTTGTATCGCCACCAAACGGGCCGCTGCCAATTGAATCTTATTGAAATCGTGTTCGAAGGCAGAGGTAACATTACCATCTAAGCTGGCGGGTGGCCCTTTTTTATCAACATGCTGCGTACTATTCTCACGCGATTTATTGATAATATCGTGAATTTTACCATCTTTAATTTGTAGATATTGACCTCGCATACCACCATAATATGGTATAACGTCCATATCATCCATATCAGTAGATTTATGTCTATGTATTGTAAGGTGAAGTCGGGAAGGGTAGGTAGGTTACTTATACACATTTGCATACTTATTTACTTTAGCTTTTTTATTATTATTATTTAATAATAATAAAAAAAAAAAATAAAAAAAATAGTGCAGTCACACTAAAGAATAGAAAGAAAAATGCAACTACAAAGCGAAAATTTCTACAGAGAGTAAGCAAGAACCAATCAGAAGATCCCCAAGACGCGTTTTCTAAAATACATTTTCAGAGCTAGGGATTTACCATTAGTCCAATCAATCAAAGGTTAATATTGACAATAATCTACAAGGACGGATAAATAAAATATATTTATATATTGATTCAAGATTTGCACAAAACAACACTGTCATTAAACGAATTTTAAATCAAAATTATTTACACTTATTTACAAAAAAAAAAAAAAAAATTGGCAACAATTTTGTATTAAATTTTTTTTAGTAAATTTTATTATTATTTTTTTTTATTTTTTTAATTGGAATAATTTTACAAAGAAGTAATTTAGTTGATTAAATCCAATTCAAGATCAGCCTGAGCATGGGCTTTTCCGCCCACTCCAGCAATGGCTACCGAGTCCGGATTAAAGTAAACGTTTGTGGTAACGCCGCGTTTTAAGAAAGCTTTAGATAGAGGCATCGATATCGCGGTACCGCCATTCCCCACCACCGCCTTTGAATGCGGTTCTAAAATCAGGGCGGCTGCCTTTTCGTTCGTTTTGCCCACATGCGCGAAATATGACATAGGAAAATATGTATCAAAAGATATCTGTGGGATACTACCGGCAGTTGAAGTTTTGCCTATTGCCTCCACTTTAACGACGGATCCATCAGCACTTATTGATTTTGCATTCTTTAGCGGCTTTCTTTTCAATTTTTTCGTCAAATGACTCGAACTAGATTTTAAACGTTGTTCCGGCATTGTTTTGATTTCTTCCTCAGAAAAGTCCGAATTAATTTCTCTAATACCTGTTGAAAGATTAATATCATTCTTAAAGTTTCCTTCCATAAGTTCGACATCGACTTGTAATTTTGGTGGTTGAACGTTAAAGATCGCGTGCATTGGTCTTTTAGTGGTCGGTTCTCGATCCCTTTTCTTATCAGGTTTTACCGTAGTAGTAGTAGCAGCGCTTAATATGGTATTACCGTTAAAGAATTGCGGCACTAGTTGAGGCTGCTTAATTGCTGGGAACGCTGTCAGAGTGTAGGGTATGTTGAAAAATTCATTATGCCAGGGGAAGTATTGTTGTGCATTATATATGTCGGATTGAAAGTTCGTTGGATTGAAAATTGTTTGAAAGTGTACTTGCGGATTGGAGTGCAGTTGCACTGATTGCAATCGTTTTTCGTTTCTCATCTCCTTACTAATTGATGCTTGAGGTGGGAGCGTCATTAATGAATTTATACCAAAATTGTTGTCGAAAATTCTCATTGACAGCGGTTGGAAAGGCCAACTATGCAAATTATTTATTGGCCATTTTCTAAATAAAATTGTTGTTTACATTTTGTTGCCGTGCGTATGTTTGTATATTCAGAAAAATTAAAAGTAAAGGAATTTATATTAGTTTTATTTACAATTTTCTTCTTTAATTATTTTTATGGTTAATTGCCGACAACTTTACATGCATATATTGAATTGAATATATCGATATATAAGCAATGATGGTTAGACGTTACAACCCAACAACAGTTACTTGAGTGAAACTTTTTTTTACATATTATTTAAAATAATAATTAATTTATATAATATTTTTTTAGTTAAAAATTTTTCTAAAATTTAACATAACCTTTGTACATATTTCCACACAAAAATTTCCAAAAAATCCAAATATTTTTTAATATATGCGTGCGTATCGTATCTTTACGAACTTAATTTTTATGGCCTTTTTTGGCACGAAAACGAAAATTATTCTTAAATATTGACTTGACCTTCCTATCGGAACGATTATAATGACGTTAATTGAATGAGAATCTCAATAAAATTATGAATAAATTGAACGCTGTCGACATTGTACATTGTTCCCCATTATTATTATCAAATATCCAAAAAAATAATATAGATATATAGCAAAAGCCACGCGATACCGATCAAAAACAGTAAGAGAAGAATCGCAAAAATATATGAACTCTCCGTGAATCTATCTATGGAGTTTTCGAAAAAAACCATCACACGATACACATTTGAATTTCTCTACTTGATTGCGAGCACATCAGTGTTTTTATACCGTGCAATGTTGTTCTCTCTCCGTTAATGGCTTCACATTATTATTCAAACGTGAGATAAATGCATTCAGTGCAAGAATAGATCGCGATTTCTTCTGACAATATACAATAGTCTGCATTGACTTGACTACTACTTTCGATCAAAAAGTTTCGGGAACAATTACATTAATTTATAATTTTTATGAAAAGTCTACTTGGAGGTTCCACTACATCAAAAACCCAGATCAGATACATGACTTCTTTAATAAAGACTTGCCTTACTCTTCTACTACTTAATGTTGGCTACGCGATCGCAAATGATCGCTCGACCAAGATGAGACCAAGATTTGTAACATTTAATCGATACTTGGCCCACGAAATGCATATTCAATAAATAAAATACAAAAAAAAACTTGAGCATGTGTGCATGACACTGAAATTATTTATTCGATTGGGTGTCGGTCCGGAAATATTCTAAAAACCAGATCAAGTCTTTTAAAATCGATTAAAAATTAATTTGAGTAAGTTCGGGTCGCATGATCGATTATTCGATTCCGATTATTTTTATTTATCTTAATATTTTTAACTGATATTTAAGAGAAAAATGAAAAAGTGAAAAAAAGAAATTTTTTATTCAATTATTCCCGAAACTTTTTGACCAAGGATATGGCTAATTGGAATGAGCAGATGTAATAAATTGAAGCGAAGCATCGCCATTATTACAATAGTAAGGGACCACTTGTTACTCTCGTAGCACGAAGAATAAAAGCAGCTTTTTTCATATTCATTCAGCGATTCTTTGGCGGCCATTTTCGCAATTATAAAAATTTATTAAGAAATCCGAATCATTCACGTTTGCGTTATTAATCTCGGAGTACATGTTAAATTTAAAAAATGTGCGCAAAATTTCGATCCCTTTTCATCCTTTTTCTTGCCTTAGTCAAAGAAAATGTTTATTAGTAACAACACAAATGACTTTTCATCGTGTATGATAGACTACAAACCGAAAAACACTTCAATATTATTTATAAATAATTTATAGTTAAAAGGTAAAGTCGTAAATAAACAAAAATTTTAATTACTAACAACGGAAAACACAGATAAATGTGAAAGGACGCATGTCCTTTGCCAAATACAGCCAAACAGCAAAAGATGCAGAGGTAAAAAGTGCTCTGCTCGTTTGTAGGAGGAGTCACTACAATAATAGTTCAAACTTTCAAATTTCTTTCTTTCTTCTTTGTTCAAGTGATTTTATATTTGTCCGTGTTTTCCTTGATATGTAGAAATATATCCTTAAAAATTTAATAAATGCTCTAATAAACCGGCAAACAAAAAACAAAAAAAAAGATTAAAAAAATAAACTTAAAAAAATGGGTCGAATTTTTTATATAATTAAGGATACATCTGAATTATTAAAATTGAACATCGATCGCCGTAGGTGGAGCGTAATAGACAGTAGGACCTGTTGCTACGATACGGCCTTCCCGCGGCCACGTCTGATTAAACAAATTGGTGCGACGTAATGCATCTTTTAAATCTATATTCGATGGAATGGCTATAACTTTAGCCCCCGGTCCAGCTATAGTCAAACTGCGGGGATGCGTAAGAGCATAACCGCCAGGTCCAACAATTGCAGTACCCCCGCTGCCTGCTGTAGCCACACCGCCTGGGCCAGCTATGGCTACACCTCCTTTGCGCACTTTTAATTTTTGTATAACAATTCCGGCCTGCTTCAGAGCTTCCTTCTGTACTTCATGCTTCTGAGCATGGTGGTGGTGGTGGTGGGCTAAGAATTTGTTTTCGCTCATTTCATGGGACTCGTCATCGTCGCTCGAATCGTTGGCCGAGCTTCTATCACAATCGTTCGTGTTCTCATCTTCCCACCTATAGTCCGTATAATGTAAATCACTCTCTTCTTGTGGCTGATTGTTCAAAGTTCCGCTTACTAAGGGATTTGCAGTCGCTAATGAGGTGTATTGCAATTTCTGCGGTATTTTTAAAGGCACCGCTACTTGTTGCTGTTGCTGTTGCTGTTGCTGCTGGGGTCTTGCCTCCGGGCGGAACGGAAACTTAAAAATGTGTTGAAATGCAGTCTTTACAGTGTTAGAGCCGGTTTTGTTGGCAAATTGTGTTCTGTGCAGATTTTGTTGTGATATTGGCGGCATTACGGTCGTCACAAACGGACTTAACGTTGACACTTTAGTAAGATTACTAATACTATTTAATTGTGTACTCTGAGATTTTAAGTCGGTCCGTCTTGACACATTTTGCGTGTTATATGCGTCAACCAACGCCTGCGTTTGTGCCTTATGAGAGTTTTTCTTCACTTTCTCTTCTCTGCCTGCATTTGCACCTAGTTTGTTGTTCTGTTCCTCGATAGCTTTAAAATTTTTATCGGCGGTCCTCGCTTGTTGTTCCATTAACAATGCCTGGGGTACCAAGAGTAAGTGATATTTGGTTGCGGATTTTGTTTTTATGGGGACGATATTATTAGTCTTGTTATAAAAATTCTGAAAATCGCCAATAATTTTATAACCTTTCAATTGATAGTCCTTAGCACTAATATTTTCTAACAACTGTTGCCGACTACTTTGCTTGTAAAGCTTGACAGGTATGACAAAGTGTGTCTTAGGCGTCTGAAGTGCTTGAGTTTGCTTTAAGTCGAAAGGATAGGGTTTAAAATAGATAAGAGACGGTGTCGGTGGAGATTGAAGAATGTTTTTTTCAGGATTTCGCGAGACTTCCTTGATGAATTCATTGGATTTTATCTTTGCAGGTGTCTCTAGAACTTCCCGTTGCGACGGTTTACTATACTGATTGTTTCGATTATATGAAATCTGTGATTTAATTGCTCGTATTGACGGAAAAAATAATGTCGCGCCATTTGTAGTTTTAGTTGGAAAATTTTGGACATTACTAAACAGATATTGTGACGAATCTAAAAGTATGGGCACTTTGGAGGGCTCAGGCTTTTTAATATAACCCAAAGCTTTATTTATTTTCTCAATTTCATCTAAAATTCGCTTAGTTTCGCTAGTATTTACTTTGTTTGCTGTTGTTGTTGTTGGTGTTAATGTTGGTGTTGCTGTCGCTTTTGTTGTCCTTGATGTCGCAAATATGCTGTCTAATTCAACCGCCTTTTCCGCAACGAATTCTTCGGGAAATTTAATAAGTTTCTGTTTTTCAATTCTGTAAACGAAATTTTTAATATTTATTTTCTTTAAGCGTTTCGCTGCAATTAAAATAAAAAAATTATAGTCTAAGAAAACAAAAAGTTATCCGAATCCAATGCCTATTACTATAAATGCATGCCATCAGCACTGAATATTACACATGCATTATAACATGCAACGCACAATTACAGTTCTACGCTACACAGTAATCTTAAATTTAGTTATTAAATTTAATTATTAAAAAGTGAAAAGTTTAATATTATAATTGGAAAGATATTACATTTCGCACACAATTTTCAACATTCAATACTTACTCAACTAGAGACTTAGTGTTTTCATCGCTGCTCACAGGTTTCGCCAAGACTATGTATGTAAGTTGACTTAGGAGAAGGAACTGAAAAGTGGAAAAAATCCACGTTTATATTAGGCTCTTGTTCACAAATAAAAGAAGAATTCTTAAGCGAGATATGCTGTAAGAACACTTACTTATATGTGTTACATAAAATTTTAATCTGTCACAAAATCCGTCACTGTACTTAATTTGTGCTTTCTTTGTTTCATTTCTTTTCCATCAACTTTCACCAGTCCGTGTTCTTCAAGAGTCTTTTAAAATCGAAACTATCATTGAGTTGAGGGACTGAGGAGAGAGACTCCCGGTCTTTCTTGCTCCCTCTCTTTCTCTCTCAAACTCGCACCTCAGTCACCCTTTCGCACTATCATAGATTCATCGTGGCGAGTCGTCTGATTTAAAACAATTTGTAGAACGATATTGACTCGAAAACACTTATGTGGATATCGTAGGCAGACATAGCATATCATATAGTTTTAACCACAGAAAGAGGAATTATATTTCTATTCATTACTTTCACTGCACGCGTAGTGATGATTTGAAAAAGCGACGAAACTCTATTGCCTTTAGGGTTCAACTTATAACGAGGCATTTACTGATTTCAATTTATCGGATACAGCAACGAGTTTCCTTTTGGCTTTATAAGAAATTCGGTTGTCGATCTTGAGGATCTTATGGATTAATTTATAAATAGCCCATTAACATAATGTTACGGAAACCCCAAATCCAATTCATTCCCACTAATTGATTTTCCCAAAAAATAAATTCCCTAGAGAGGGGGAGAAAACCCAAGTGTACATTCGCAGTGCGTCATGCAGCTGCCGCCCGTGGAAAATGATTTGCGGAAAAGTAGGTTAACGGATTAAAAATGAAGCCGTGAACTTAGGTAATCGTAATATGTTTATAAAAATGTATATAAATGCATTATTTGCAAAAGGGAGAGTCAGTCGTGAAAATCTTGTAGTGAAAACGTTCAAGTGTACTTCGCTTAAAAAGAATATCCACGATCTAGTAATACGAACCGCATCGAAGAAAAGCGAATTTCGTAACAATATTATATTATTATACCCATCACCGAAGAATGGAGGGTGTATTTGCCCATATTCTTGATCGGCATTAAATTCTGAATTGATTTAACCATGTCCGTCTGTCCACCTGTCTCTTTGACTGGTTGTCCGTCTGTCTAATATGTGTTGTAAACATTAAATTTCGCAGAAACATTGAAAGTTATTGCACGCAGTTTGATAATGAAAACAAGCTAAGTCGCTCGATGGAGGCGCCCGCAGTACTACGTAAACGGAGGACATCTCCGTCTTTCAAAAGGAATAAAAAATTTGGTTTCTTACTGGTTGACTACTCATAAACTATGGCAAATAAATCTAAAAAAATTTGAATACAGATTTCACGAGCGATGCTTTAGTATCTGTCCAAAAATTGGCCACGCCTATCCAATATTATAATGCATAAAAACTTCATTTTTATTCACATATTTTATTTGCGCAAATGGGATTTTGAAGCTATTCGCCAAGTATACAAATTCTTGGGCAGTTTTAAATTTGGAACATATGCTCATAAGCATGTGCGTGTATTCGTCTGTCCACTAAACTTTCTGCATACCTAACTGTATAATATCTGCGATAAATCGGGAGTATATCCCGTACGCAAAAGTGAAGCTTTCATCTGCAAGTTTGCAAAGGGATTGGGAAGTGATCTCAATTTTTCGAACGATACGCCTGTACGACAAAATCTGTTCGTCCACTTCATATTCTAAAGGATGAAAATTTAGTGCTTTTACTTTTTTTTGTCTTTTTTAGGATAACGGTGGTGGACATAAAGGATTCGAAAGGACACGATCGGCGATAATTTACTTCCTTGTTTTCGGTGAATACCAATATTTGTTGCGGTCAAAGAGAAGTGAAAAAAGAGAAAGAAATGGGGTAACGATCTTAGCTTAGTGGTTGTTTGTCTGATCCGTAAGTGTTATACCTACATCGATTAAAGGCTTGCTATAGATACGAGCAAAGGAAATCTTGCATCGGCTGTGATATGACGCCGCGAACGTTGTCTTCGTACTCGGGATTCTTATCTACTGGGCTACTAACAAGAGCTAAAGGGTGACAGAAAGACATATTTTAAGGTTTATTTAAAGGGGCGTAAATCTCCCGCGAAACAAACACTCTTTTAACAAACTAAATATTTTAGTCATGTCCTGTGGTCGATGCAGTAGCGAACGGGTTAATAGCTTTGTTTTAATACAAAATTGATATCGTTGTTGTTGCGCTGTAACTATCCCTACAGAATAACAAAATTGATGCAAAACCAAAAATTCCCATTGTGAGAAAACGCACTGTTTTCTCTTATGACTGAATGCTGAATTAATATTTAAAACGACCTGATGAGTATCCATGATTTGTTTTTACGGCGAAAATTGCCTTTTATTTGTGTTCGTTCTCTTACGTTTGTTATTAGCAAAGAATGAAAGTTTGTTTGCGTGCGTGCGTGTGTCACTAAATGAAAAGAAAATATAATTCATAAAATTCAACATTTTACGGTCAGTCGACCTGTTGCAAGCACTTTCTACAAAACACTTTGCGTTGTCGCACATTACGGTCACTGTATATCGATCACCGAAAGATGACGTTTGCAACACCCGAAAGAGGACCGATATATATTTTTGATTAGCATCAAATTTTGAATCTATTTAAGCACGTCCATGTGTCCGTCTGGCTATTAGTCGACCTCACATTCGGTGGAAACTTTGGAGGTTCTAGCTTGCATTGCTTGATATTGGAAATGGACTAAGTCGGTCGATGAAAATTGAGAACTGAATCTGTTTTCCAAAGCCAAAGAAAAATTGACATTTATCTCATTGCTTGCTAGATAAACCTGTAAGAATGTTGATATACATATGGAAACGTAAAAGCGGAAAAATGGGAAAAATTGGTCACGCCTATCCAATGTTTTAGTCTATCAAATTTTCTTCTTTTGTTTTTTTTTTTTTGTTTTGACAAAACCTTTATAACACCCAGAAATAAAGATCAAAAATCCCATGAGGTATATACATTCGAAATGCGTCTAGACGCGTCGAATTGTTTATCAGTCCCTTTGTCCGTCTCCCCATCTGTTTAGTATCTACGAAAAGCATTCTCTCGTTTGCAAAAACCAAGAATTCGCTTAAAAATTTGCGGAGGAATTTGAAAGTGATCCAAATCGATAAAAGGCCACGCCCACAATGCAACAAAATCTGAGAACACTTTGACGCGCCGTGTTTTGTTTCGCTCGTAATACTACAGTCATATATATAATACTATGATCATAGACTACAATAGACGGACAGTGTGGAAATTTCCATCAAACTTTTTGTTGTACAAAAGCAGAAAAAAAAAATCACCAACGCCTTTCCATTATTATAGAAAATGAAAATTTCGTTTTTTGTGCTTTTTTCCAGTTTCCTTTTCCAGTTCACTTTTAGCATAACGGCGGTGGGTGCAACAGATTCGGTTGCAGACGACTAGATTGTTGTTGTTTTATAAAGTGTTTTGAACGAAAATACAAAAATTATCTCTTCGAGGAATGAGAAATAGAACTGAGCTCGGCTATTCAGTTATCAAATAAATTTTTAAAAGCATCGGTATATATATCGGTTTACATTATCAATACATATACGAGTGGATTTTGCTTGTTAATGTTACAAATATGTTATATATGTATATATATATATATATACATATATACATATATATGTATATATATGTACATATATAGGTTCATATCCAATGTATAGACAAGAAGAAGGGAAGGTAGTTCGATAGATAAAATAATAAGTGTTTTGATAAACACATACACACACACACACATAGAGCGTGAGACAGAAGACCGAAAGGGAGAGACGGCAGAGAGAAGATGGACTGGCTTCAAGCGATGCAAAGTAATAGTAATATTAATAATAATAATAATATATAGATAGAGGAAAGGCGTGCGTTCCGGTGGATGTTACAAATGAGGTGAGAAATTTAATATATTCCAATGATGAATATACAAAACATCGGGATTTACAATGGATGAAATGTTTTGCTGACAGCTTCGCATGTTTATCTTCTTCGGTGTGCTTGTTTCTCTGGCTGTCGTTGTGTTGTATAAATGGGATTATGTCTGTTATAAAAGTTTCTTCGAAATGCGGTCAAGTATTTACTTTTGTTATAGGACTTTTTATTCTTGTTATAGCCGTTGTTATTGTTATTGTTTTTTGTTTTTTTTTTTTTTGTTTTTATTCTCTCAACCCATAAATTACAATAAGAAAGAAACCAACTTTTGAAGCAAACGGCTTTTGAACGTTTCAAGAATAAGAACTTTTTCTTTTTCTTTTTTCTTTTTTTTTCTTTTTTTTTTTTTTTGTTTGTATATTTTGTGTGTTGTATGTATGTCAAAATAAACAGAAAGTTTGATTAAAAATTGTCAACGAAAAGGTAAGATAGTTAGTACGTGTGCTCAAACTTTCACTTAGGCCTATAACTTTTGAACAAATTTAATCCAATAATTTGGATCAGGCAAATATTTATAATACATACATACATCATTTAGTCTCGGGAATCTCATGTATATTTATACATATTTATGAATATGCACAAGTGAATCGATTTATCTACGTCTGTTCATTTATCTAGAAATTTGATAAAGTCACGAGTATATTCGTAAAGTGCTATTTAGAACAATAACTATCTTCTTAAGTTTTTGTTTCTCATCTTTCTCGTCAGGGCCTAGTTGTAACCGTACGCACGTACATTTATCAAATAAAACTGATTATTTCCTGTTGGCGTTTTCCCTTAACCTATTTGGACCAAAAGTAACCACCTTGATCACCTTCTTTTTGGGTAGATTGCTTTCTATTCCGTTTGAACGTGGGATGACCACACCCATTTTTCTTTCTTATTCGTAGTCGATTATTAATTGTTTGCGGCTAATCTCACCCTCCTGCGTTCATTGTTTTCAATGTAACGATTCAATAAAATAGAGGTGAAAGCAAATGTGCAAAGTATTCCTTTTGG